TTTCTTCTTAGCACAATGGCCTAGTGTGATCAACCAATTTCACTCCAGGACAGTACTATTTTGAGGCGGATATTTCTCAGAGACTGCCATTACATTCTTACAAGCCACTTAAGGAACAAAAGATCAATTTTCTTGCAAGATTCTGGTTAAGTAAAGAGTTGTTTAATGTTACGTACATTGGAAATACTTTCAGTTTTCTGCTTTAAAAAAAACTCAAGAGGTCTGCATCATCTGCAGTTTATGGCCCAAGGCAAAGGCTTTTGGCTCATGTCTTCCAACACATCCTGCAGTGACTTATAAAATTAAGTAGCTGCAACATCCAATAAGAATAAAGCTGGCGTCTTGTTTGCAGTAAATTTCTATCTTCAGTTACAATACATAAAATTGAATCTCTAATAAGTTTTGTAAGAGTCTAGGGTTAAATAGTGAGCCAGAGGGAAGGGTAATAAAAAAAAAAGAATCAATTGGAGTTCATTTGCCAAACTATTGAACTTCAAGTACACTCCATATTTTAAAAATCCTTCAAAGAAGTTCCAATGCAGACCAAAGTTCAGGTTGTACAATACTAGATTTACTTGATCATAGAAGAAATGAGTTGGAAAAGACCTTGTGGGCCAACCAAGAAGCAGGAAAATCACATTCAAAGCACCCCTGACAGGTGGTCATCCAGCCTCTGCTTGAAAGCCTCTAAAGAAGGAGCCTCCACAACACTCTGGGGCAGAGAGTTCCACTGCTGAACTGCTCTCACAGTCAGGAAGTTCAGGTGTAATCTTCTTTTCTGTAGTCTGAAGCCATTACTTCATTGCATCCTAGTCTCCAGGGTGGCAGAAAACAAGCCTGCTCCCTCCTCCCTATGACTTCCCTTCACTTCCACTCATGTCTCCTCTCAGCTTTCTCTTCTGCAGGCTAAACATGACCAGTTCTTTAAGTTGTTCCTCATAGGGCTTGTTCTATATTCATCTCAGTGGAATTTTCTTCCAAATGAGCTACAGCAACTGCACTCACTAATCCGTGGGTTCAGTTTCTGTAGCTTTGGTTACCCATAATCAATTGGGGACTGAAAATATTATTGGTATAGGGTTCAGTACTATCTGTAGTTTCAGACATTGGGGGAGGGAGAGCTACTGTCCTTAGAACTGGATTTTCATATTTTAAAGCGGGGGTATGACTGCCCTTTAATGGCACTAAGGGTGATTAAGGTTTGTTTTAAGTGTAGCTTGATTTTAAAGTTAAAGCACCTCACAAGGCCACCAATATTTTATCTGAATTTGGCACTTGGTCCAGCGTCTATGCACCCCACCCCAACCACCCAATCAATGTCTATCTCCCTGCAGACATGCTTTGGAGAAACGGTAACACGAAAAGAGGGGGGAAATAGATTTTGGCAGGAAATCCGATTAGAGTACAGGCAGTCTCCAAGTTACAGACATCCAACTTGCATCCAACTTCTAGTTAAAAATGGGGGTGGGACAACAGGAAGTGAGAGAAATCTACCCCTAGGAAAGGAAATTATCTCCTGAAATAGTTATCCTGGGGAAAATGTGTCTCCACTGAAGCTTTATCACCAATCCATGTTTTCACAAGCCATTTTTTCAAAATCCAATTATTACTGGGACAGAAAGTGAGGTGCAACCTTCCGAACAGGGGCACAGATAGCCAAATACCACAGCGGTGTTGTTGGAACATCTAACCATTTAGATGCAGAGGCTTCAATTGAATCTGTAAATCCAATTGCTCAGGCTGTGTGGAAGCTTACACACATGGTGCTGTTTGTGCACAGCCTTCCTTGCTCAGATATTCTTGCTTAATAATTGAATTAGAAAGAGTGGGGCCATCAGAGCAGATACCCTCCCCTTTCTACATACAGAACCATTTTCCCCATGAAAAGCTTGGTAAGATCTACTTGTGAGATCATGGTTTTTTTAAAAAAAAAATCACTGAGAAACATCAAAGCAAAAGCTAATGTCTCTGGACTATTTTATTGCACAAGAGATGGTCGATAAAGTTCCCAATCCCAGGTTCACAGCAGTTGTGCAGATGCAAGCAACTAAAGAGTTTCTATAGAAAGCATCAGCCAATGAAACTATTTTGAAGGTAAATGCAATATATTTATAATCCTTCCATCCCAGACTGTTTTAGAGGCAGGATTAAACTAGATTATACTATTGGAACAAATTCAAAATGTCTGTCTGATTTCCTGCCCTGTTTAGCAACTCATAAATAAAAAGTTAATGGCCTTCATATCATCATTTTTAAGAAACTGAAAAGTAGCTTTCTATTGACACATAATGGTCAAACATTATATGGGAGATATGTATAATAAAACACAGTACAAGAAACCATCTCTTTTTGAAGGCAACTTGCTTTGGAGCTCTTCTGAGCCAAGAGTTGGTTCTATAAATTGCCACAGATTAAATAACCTTTTCCTATAAGATCTTGCCTCTCCTGCTGAACATTACATTTTCTCATCTTATTTTTTCCTGGTAAAATATGTTGTTTTCAACCTGTTCCAGCTATTGCTTCAATTGTTACCTTCTGAGCTACTACTGATTGATTGCAACATGGTCAAAAAAGTGCCACGAACTGAACAATGCCTATCACATTAGGTATATGACAAAGGTTACTACCCATGCCTTTGTCAGTTTATATACATGCAAAACATTACTATTTATTCTCTAGAGCAGGCCCTCAAAATAGTATTTTATTCTACCTGCTAACATTTTCAACTACAAATCATGTTGGCTGGGAAAGATGGAAGTTGTTCACCAAGATCAGTGGAAAGGTTACCCACTTGCCCCTACTTAAGGGCGTGAAAAAAACTACATGAAGGGTTTTCCTTGCTCAAAACTACATCTCACATTGCACCAATATCCTTTTTTTAAAAAAGAAAAAAGAAAAGAAAAAACCTATTTCACAGCTCTGCTTATCTCCAGTAAGAATGCCCACACAACTCTGTGTCTCCCTACAGCCCATTTCATTATGCCTGAAGCAGATGCCACACTAATCACTTTGAATTCTCTTCTTCCCTCTCCTCCATGTGGTATGTTTCCACAAAAGGGGTTCATGGCGAGGGCACACTTTGGATCATAGGAACAAGCTTTCCCCAGTTCTGGCACCTAACTGTGTAAAACCAGCAAATACAAGACTGGAGGATTCCTTTCCTCCTCTCCCAGAACTCCATCATCCTTAGAAATATTATAAACAGACATAAAAAATTCACCATTATGAAAAATTCATTTACTGGCTTTCAGAAGCTCTTTCAGTTGTAATTAAAGAAAAGCAAAAGCTGAATGTGGAAAGCAAAAGCGCCACAATGCCAACCACCCCCCCCCCTAAAAAAAACCATAAACAAAATCCTAATACTAATTTTTTTTTAAGGTCACAAGCTCGTCTATCCCTAGCAACAAGTCCTTAGCAAGAATAAATATCAGTGTATAATGAAGCTATTGTCAAGGCTGGTTTATGGAAGTATGGTACAGGTCAGAACAAACCAAGCCTTTTCAATAATTTTCTAATGAGATCAGTGCAAGTCTTTCTGTTTCAAATAAATCCAAGCAAGGAAACGTAGTAAATAAGCTGCTGGTGACTGTTGGATTTCATGTCAGTGGGGCAGTGAACCAGCTCCTGGTTTTAGTCTGTACTTTAAAGATAAGACCCAAGATGCTGAATGAGGTATGCTGTGGCATTGAGCACCTTTAATAGTTAATTTAAAGATCAGGATGAAACCCAGTGTGGCATAATTATAGTACTATCATTCCACTTTAAATACTATAGGTGTACCTTATGAAATCCTAGGGATTCTAGTTCTGTCAGAGACATCAGAGAAATTCTCTGGTTGAGTGCTGAACGTTTCTGTTACTGTTGTTGTTGCTCTTGTGTACCTTCAAGTTGTTTCTGACCTATGGTGACTCTAAGCCAAACCTATCCAGAGTTTTCTTGGCAATGTTTGTTCAGAAGAGGTTTGCCACTGCCTCTGAGGCTGGGATAGTTTGACCAAGGTCACCCAGAGAGTTCATGGCTAAGCCAGGATTTGCCCATCTCTCTCTTTCTCGCTCTTATACACATAGACACTATCTATCTCTTTAACACACAGTGAAACATGCCACACTTCCTGGTTCACATGCACCCACAAAATATGAAGCAAAATCTGAAAGGATCTGCCACAGGGTATGTCCTCGGGCAAAAAAACCTCCACCTGGCCACTTGTACCACGTATGAGCACACACCATTCCCTTTTTGGCAAGGAGGCATTTTTAGATGCTCTTCCAACAAATGGTTGAAACCTAGCTCTGGTTTTAATTTGGACATAAGCAAAATTTGACCCATGGGCTGTAAGCAGTGCCCAAAATTTCCCTCAGGTCTAAAACAGCCAGGAGGGCCAAACACATGACAAAATTGCCCACATAATCCCAGAGGGCATGGGGATTATTTTAAATTTACTTATGAAAGAGTTTAAACCTCTGAGAAAGTTGAAAATAGGGAGCAGAAGAAAAAAGGATAAACCACCACCTGCCTGTTTCACTGACATGAATCATTCCACTGATATGAGGAACAAATTGGACATGACACATTTTTCTGACATTTTAAAATTTTGTGTCTAGATTCAGGATGCACTGGAGCCAAGTAGAATGACAAACACAATACAGTGTATGGTATCAAGGCAGGGCCAACCTTACCACTAGATAGCGTGTAACTGTCACTTCAGATAGGAGGTTTTAGATATCATGAAAGGCCAACACATTGTGAGCTGGCAGGGATGTGTAGTGGTACTTGCCAGATCCTGAGTAACAAAACAATATGGCTCACTCTTGAGACACCCTGAATCAGATGAGAAAAGGTGCCATTTCTTGCTCTGACCATGCAGTAAAATGTCTTGGGCTGGTCTTGGTAGAGAACTCTCAGGCTCATGAAATAAAGATTAATCCGCAAACTTCCAATGGCCTTATCCAGCAAAGCTATGCAAGGCATATGTTCTTCTCTGATTAAACAGAATAACCTACCTCTTTAAAATGATCAAAGGCAGACAAAATGATTTCATGTCCTCCTCTCACGAGACAAACTGCTGCCAACAGTTCCAAGACCAGAGCCTTTGTTCTGCGCAACGATAGGGGAAGAAAAATCAATTAGAAAAATATGATGAGTCAGTTTTTGCAAGATGGATGCGATGACATCTGAAAATAGTATTTTTAATGTTCCACACTGCTTCCAAAGGCTGTCTCTCCCATGAGCTTCAAGCAAGATGCGGCAAATGCTCAATTGCCCCTTGAAGTCCCAGTCATGAAAACTTTCTGTATTTTTTTTTCAAAAAACCCCTAATTTGTAGACTATATAGTCACTACAAAACCATTTCTTGACCTGCATGGGTCTACCAAAGTGATCACAAGTTTAGATGAAAGAAAACCAGTCAAAAAAATGAAATTCACGAGGGACTGAGTACATGAAAATGACAGGTTGCTTGCAGAGCAGCTTTAAAGAAAAAAAATCTCCATGCAAGAATTTCTAAGACAGAAGAGGCTTTTACCTGGGGTTCTTGTTGTTCAGGCTTAGTGCAATTTCATTAACAGCATTGAGGTGCGACATGACCATATTGAATCCATACTAAAGTAGAAATTGGAAATAAAGTACAGCATTTGAAATATATTCTTATCATTTTAAAGTGTATAAAATGGATAAATCTGGGCAATCCTACCCATTATATGCTAGTAAACACAGATTTGCTACGGAATACAGTTGAAACTGTTCATTACCAGTTTCTAGCCAATGCTTCTATATAGATAAATTTCCAAATACATTTTCTTTTTCATTGGATGAGCTTCTCCCTTGTCCAATAGGAGACTGAACTTTGCACAGAATATATAGTCTTTGACCAGATCTAGAATTCTTCGCAGCTCAACTGGCATTGTGGTTAAATAAATGATTTAAACCAGTCATACCAATTTTTGCACCCTAGAAGCTGGGTAAAACAAAGTAGCTGTGCAAACAAATATTCTTGGTTCAGGAAACAAATCTCAATCTTTTTAAATGTCTGTAGCCATCCTCTTTTTTGTATTCTACTCCTTTAATCCTTGTTACCATTATTGCAAGTAAACAAAAGCATCTAAGTAAACATTCTTTAAAGAAGGGCTTTTTCTTCCCCAAACTCTTTTTGGAATTGTGGTATTCTGGTAAGTCTATGCAATCTTAACAGCAACATTGGCTGCCACACACCTGGTCTGTGACTGTAACAATAAAATTCAATTCAACATTGGCTGCCTAAATCTAGCTGTTAATCTCAACTAGAAAAGAGCCACTAAATCAAAAGGAACTTGATTGTAAGTTCCATTAGTGTATATCAAAGTAGTAGGATCTAGGGACAGGATTTAGGTCACTGTAATCAAAAGCAATTCCAGACTTTGGTTGTTTCTCACTCTATGACAGGTATGGGCAAACTAAGGCCCGGAGACTGGATGTGGCCCCTTGGGTGATTATCTCAGGCCCTCCTCATTTTCCTTGTCCTTTTGGCATAAGGATGTGGCCCACCACATCCTTGTGCCAAAAAGACAAGGGAGGAAAGCATGCAGCAGCTGAGAGCCCTTTGGAGCACTTTCAGTCATCACTTGTTTTGCCCTCTTCCTGGCATAATGCCAAGAGAACAGCCCAAGGATCGAGGGAAGTGGATCAAGAGGAGGATCGGGAGAGAGCACTGGGGCAGTCGCTGCATGTCTTGTCTTTCTCTCAGCATAAGGATGGGGTGAGCCATCCTATCCTTATGCCGGGAGGACAACTTATGCCCAGGCACAGCCCGGCCCCATACCTGTGCCCACCCTCTCCTGGGCCCAACCCACCCCACCCAGCATGGGAAAGGCTCCCCTCCCTTCTGGCCCGGCCCTCCTGCCTGACTCACGATGTGGCCCGAAGGCAAAAAAGTTTGCCCATGCCTGCTCTATAACCTACTGAAATAGCCATCAGGGATACTCTTTATGTTTCAAATAATCTAAGGCTCCTTCTCGTACTGCTATTTTATTTTTCATCCTTCCTCCATAACGTCAAATAGTGAGACTATAATAAGCCCAGGGAATTGTTGTGGACATCTTAAACTCCTCTATACCATCAAGACTGCTTCCTGATTGATTGGGTTTATCTAATTTCGTTATATCCAGTTTCAAATACAATCTGTATAATCACTACTGTGTGACCCAAATAGTTTTGTTCTGGTGCATTGAATATTATGATCAAATATGATGATAAATATTAATCTAGATGATTGAGCCATCTCCAATTTTATTTGACAATCCTTGGATAGTTTTCGCTTTAATGAAGCAAGGAAGATCATTATGGCAAGCAGCACATTCCCTCTCAATAGAAATATGTATCAGATCAAATAACTGAAGTTAGATACCTGGTAATTCATGATGGCACGCAAACACATAATGCAGACATGAACGTCATCCTTTTTACTCACTAATCTTGAATTTTTAAGTGTTCTTCTGCTTGGTAAAGTGTTATACCTGAAATGGAAAGGAGAATCCCATGAGTTCTTGGATATTTGTAAAAACCGAATAGACCTGATATTTCTCTCTTCTGCAATCACCTGTAAAGATATGCAAGTAGCTTTATTATTGATTCCAGGTAACAATAACCACACATAATAGTTGCTTTAAAATGCTTAGTTTTATGTTATCTCAAACATATTAACAAAGTAAACGTCCTGTGAGATGGCAACTCTGTGGAGTGGGTAATATGTTACAGTATGACCCCCATATCTGTGAGTGATACATTCCAAGATCTCCTGTGGATACCTGAAACCGCACCGAAAACTGTATATTTTGCTTATGTTTGGGCTGGAATCATACCACAGAATAGCACCAGAGAACCATATGAGAAATTCTTAAGGCATTACTTTGTGAATCAGTTAAGAATTCCCAGTGTTTTCATATCCGCTAAGTATCGACTCTGCTGCCTTTTTGAAGGTGTAATGTGACAGATAACATTATGAAAACAGCTTTCTCTGCAGGAGCAAGTGAAGATGGAGAGATGTGAGCTTAACAGCTGTTTACACAGTACTTATAACATGTGCCTGTCAGGTCTTGGCATTCCATCAATGTCCAAAGAAATCAGTCAAGCACAGCTGTGCTACTTACACCCTAGCAAATCCACACATTCCTCTGGAATAAGTTCTCTATCTTTCTTTTCCCAAGAGTAATTAATCTGAAGACTACATACAGTGAGAAAACCAAAGAACATATGTCCCTATTCTCTGATGTATAGTATTTCGTATCTTCCACCATATAACTGCTGTGCATCAGTACAATACTGATTTCATGATAAGTATTTTCAACTTCTCAATAGTAATTTCTTTGAGATCAAATTTATGCTCACAGTGAAATCCCATAGTGAAATCTTCTTTGCAGTGCAGAATTTCGAAGTGTAGCTTTGGGATCTTGTACTGAAATTCTCCTCTATGAGTAGCAGAAAGAAAATTTATTGACCCTTTCTTCATGAACTATGAGGGTTATCCGGAAAATAAGGTTACAATATTTTTTTAATACAAAGAATGAATATATTTAAATAAAACTTACATGGTTTGGAACATAGGTATTACATTATTTTTCCACATAATCACCATTCAGTTCAATACATTTTGTCATCCGTGGGATGAGTTTAGGATGCCTGTGTCATAGAAGTTTCCCTCCACCTTTTTCAGTCAGTTCATCACTTCGATTTTCACCTCCTCTTCGTCAAAAAAGCATCCCATGATGTTTGTTTTGGATGGTTCTGCAAAGTTTCTTCATAGTCTTACAATATATTCCGTGCCCATTTTGTCATATGCTGTCGTGACATTACATCCTCTCTATAAACTGAAATGATTTCGTGCTGAATTGAAGTGGCGCTTATGCCCTTTGCATTTAGGTAGCATATTACAGCACGAACTTCGCACTTGGAGGGAAATGGGATGAGGACGCTCATCTCTAACCTTCACCACAATGCCAGTCGATGAGCTACTGATGACTGGCACTGCTTGATCGCTTCTGCTGGCTTCATGCTACACAGCAGTGATACCAACTTCCCCTGAGAAAATTCTCCATGAGAGCGATGTGCCTTGTAACCTTACATTTCGGATAATCCTCGTACATCATGAAAAGATCCCCCCCCCCAAAAAAAATCTTGCATTAGTGCAAATTAATTCCTTCATCAAGAAAATATAAATTTGGTGATATGAAAAAATTGAACAGGAATGCTCTCGTTTTGAGCAATTTTATCATGTATTTTGCACAACGTATTTTTATTTTCTTCATGCAATGTAAGTTCACCTGCATCCACTTGGCCTCTTGTTCATGAGACCCCTTTGAGTTTCTGTTTTTTAATTCCATCATACATAATGAAACATTTATCTTTGAAGCCATAAAACTACAAACATGATGTTTAAAAGTCACAAAGCGAAGTTTTTAAAAAGAGAATGTTCTCTTTAAATTCTGTGCCTGTCAATAGAGCCACTGACTTTTCTGTACACAGAAAGAATACACCATCACTTCATAAGGCAGCTACATGTCACAGGATTAGACTATTATATATTATCTCCTGCTTATTCTCTTGTATTTCTTTTCACTCAATATATGATACCCATTTCTACCCCACCTCACCCCCACCCCCCAGTGTTGGTAGAGAATTAGAAACTCCTTCCAACGATCCTCTTGAATTAATAACTTCTCTGAGATAATACATTGCATAAATTCCCAGCCGCCCTACAACCGTATGGATCCGGTCCAACTTTTTCCAAGGTCTTCCACTTTCTTAGTTATATAATAACCACAGAAAACCGGTTTTACTAGGCACGTTATGACAACACTGTACTTTAAAAAGATGTCAGACAAAAACCAAGGCAGCATAGCTCATTATTCCACATACATTAGGGAAATATACTTTATTGGCATGCTTTATCTTCAATATCATTTTAATATGTGGATATTAATGCTTCTAGATTAAGCGTTTTTTTAATAGTCTGGTCCTTCTTATTGCCAAAGAAAACATCTAAGCACTTTAAACCTAGCCAAATAAAATCAAATTATTCGAAAATTGTTTTAGCTGTTATTTTTAATGACCACTTTACAAAATCATCTAGTGTAACTTAACCAAGCAGGAAATACGTCTTATTGAAGTATAAGAGGGCAAAATATATTGGCCTGACTACAAATATCATTATGTCTACATTTAAAATGAACCCTTTACTTACCAACATAAGTAAGTATAAATGGGGACACCTATTACTTTTAATGCATAAAAGAATCCAAATTTCAGTATTACTCATTTGCTTTAAACGAAGAGCCCTGCCTACTCTTTTGGGCAGGTACTCTCATGTGTTTCTGAAGTCAATATGACAGCATCATTGCACCGTCTGGATTAAGTATGTGTTCAAATCCACCAAAGGCAGCTGCTGGAACAAACCAGCATGTTATGGAAAAAATGCATGCCCTTTGTTTAGCACTGAATCTAAAACTCTGGGGGAAGCCCCCCACATTTGGGAACACACCTGCATCACTGTTCATTGACCATAGCTGAAATGGAACACTGACACTTTCCCAGCAAGGGATTTGGCATTTTCATCCAACCTTGGTCTCAGTTTCTAATGGGAATCACTAAATCAAGGCACTGTTTGACTTAAATGTATGATAAATAGAAATTGCAAGCAACTGATCTCTCCCTATGGCACAGAATAAATCACCATGACCAAATTCTTTCTATTGCACAAACACTGTGAAGTAGGAGACCTCTGTGTACATTCATGAGAACACATATCTGAGACACACTGAAAGCTGATATACCATCTTATGCTATATAACAAGGCCTTGCAGAGATTAGTTCCTTACTACTCACACATGCCACAACACTTATAGTATTAAAATAAACACACTATTTCAGATCTAATGTTAACCATGTGCGTTACTTTATATAGCAGTGTGGGAAAGCTTTTTAAAAACCTGGTATATTGAAAACCAAATATTGACGTAGCTATCGATTTTGATTAACTGACCTATTCTTCTACATACTGCTTTAAATGGAACCAGGAATAGTGATCTCTCCCCTACAATGTTGTAAAAGAACATAAAAAGTGGGAAACAATAGTCTCAGAACAGCTCTAAGACACACCATAACCGTTGCATGTTGGGGTTTACATACATTGGGGTACACATCCTCAAGCTTTTCTGAGGAACTTCAGCTGTGATTTTACATCAACTATTAGCTATGAAGCATCTTCCAGCCAGAGTGCCCTTTTCCCATATCTACTTTTGGACTGGCAGCTGCTGCAGGCAACAGGGAGCCCATTCTCCTGTTGATTGGACATCAGCTAACTGCCATTACCACCACCTCCCAACAAGCAAATCAGAAGAAGGATATATGCCAAAGGTCCCCTCACCAGAAAACATCAGTCAACTGCTTCCTACATAACCCAGTTTAAACCTTCCTGAACAGGTTTATGAGTCTCTTAGAAAAAAAATGCTTCTACCAACTGCTGTGTGGAGCAAACCATCACTTGCTGGAAGTCCATCTTCATTAAATTACAGAGGAGCCCAAGAAGTCCTTTCTTAAATTTGTTCCAACTGTCTTTCCAGATGTCCCATTTGATGCACTTACTACTTGACAAATTTGTAAAACTGAGCCTCAAAAATCTAAAGACTGGTAATATCCTGTTTCGGGACCAAACATAATGGTATTGTCTGTCAAAACTGCAATGCACAGCAAAGTGCATTATCTGGCATACAAGAGTACTATGCAAAATGGTAATATGCATTCAAGAAAAGGTTACTTTGGGCCACGGAGGTGCAATGGGTTAAATCATTGAGCTGCTGAACTTGCTAACCTGAAGGTTTGCAGTTTGAATCTGTGAGACAGCTCCTGTCAACCTTGCAGTTTGAAAACATGCAAATGTGAGTAGATCGATAGGTACCAACTTGGCGGGAAAGTAAAAGTAATGCCAGCTACGTGACCAGGAGGTGTCTACAGAGAATGCAGGTTCCTCACCTTGGAAATGGAGATGGGTACCTCCCCCAGAGCAAGATATGAGCACCATCTCCAGAGCCGGAGATGAAAGGGGAAGCCTTTGCCTTTGCCTCTGTTTCATTGTGTGTTTCAAAGGCACTGAGTGTTTGCCCATGTCTGTATACATGCTAGAATCCACTATGAGTCCCCTTGGGGACATAGGGCGGAATACAAATATAGTATTATTATTATGTTTTTATTATGAATTGCAGGGCCAAATTATTATTCAGAGCACCTACCAGGGACCAAACAATGCCCAGAAATGCTTTAAAAAGATGCCAGCAAAATAAAACAGGAAGAGACTAGACATCTATTTTCAGTTTTGACTGGGTGGGAGTGGCTTCCACCCTCTTAATGCATCCATCTCGGGGACAGAGGAGCCCAAAATTACAGGACAGTGCCCAGAATTAAATAATTCTACATCCAACTTCAGAGAACCTCCTTCCCCTCTCACACTGTCCAGCTTTGGAGAGACAGATGTCATCAGTGAAAGAAGGAAACAGGAAACCTTCTATAAACTTCTTTTAAGTTAATGCATCCAAAAAAAACCCAACATCTTTACATCAAGTAAAATTCCTTGAATGTCAATGGCTATCTATCTGAGAAACAAGTGTATGCTGTTTCCTCCAGATTGTGGGTAAAATCCACAATGCAAAGAAAGATTTTAAAAGGAGTAGAAAATGAAATTTTTCTCTTAATTAAATAAATTCTTCTTTCTTGTGCCAAACTGGTTGAGTTCCAATGTCAAGGACTACTGACGGCCTCCTCATGTAGTTATTTATATACCTATTTGTTTAAGGTCTATAAGAAATAAGAGTTGTAACACACATCTCTGCTCTTTCTCCTTTTTATCTTCTAAGTGGCATTTCAGGATCAGCCAAGAACATTTGCTTAAAGGAGCTCTTGGGATGGTCCACAGTCAAATAAAAAGAAAGTGAAATCCTTTAAACTGTTTTCTTTCTACTTTTTGCTACCAAACGTTTGTTAGGACAAAGAAAGCTCTTAAATGTGTTACTGGTTTTCATTTTGTTCTTGCTAGAGGTCAAAGATGACATCTCTGATAGCATGTTTATTCTAATAATTAATATCACATGTTTTCTTTTCGGCCCCATCCAATTCCCTTTTCTTCCTCTCCTTCAAAGGCAAGCAATAAAAAAGCCGATAGCTGCTTTCAGCTATAAAAAGCTTTGTTGAAAAAGACCATGTGTATATTCCTATGGCTTTGAAAATCTTTTTACCTACTGAATATGAGCTGAAGAGTGCCCAGTTCATATCTTACCATAGCCATAAACCACTGCTTGTTTGTTTTATTAAATGTCTCCTCACATAGATAATAAAAATACTTACAATAAAATTGTTTTTTTAAAAAAACTTTTTTTTGTTTCTAACTTGTAGTAAATTTATCCTGGGTTTATCTTGGAAAGATTTGTTTGCAGAGGGTTTGCCAGTGTTTTCCTCTGAGGCTGAAAGATTGTGAAGTGCCCAAAATTATTCAATAACAACCTGATCATACACAGTCTTTTCTGCGTCTTCTCTCTATTTTCAGGTGCGGGCAAAATGGAGTCCCATGGAGACCATCCCACAATGCACAGCCACTTCTGGTAGCTGCCTGTGTGAATCCGTTTTGCCAGTGCCTGAAAATGGATAGAAGACTTGGAGAACACAGGGAGGAAATGGGGAAACAATGGGAAGAGCTGTGGAATAAGAGGCCGTTCCAGAAGTTGGGGCAAAACGGTAGGGAACAAAGGAGGATGGTTCCCTCTGCTTTCCCTCTGCCCATCTTATGGGATCCAATGTTTAATGACTGAGCAGTGATTTGAACCCTGGTCTTCAGAGATTGCAGTTCAACATTTAGACCACTACAATCTAACACTCAGACCACTGGCCCTCTCAGGCCCCTTCCACATAGCTGAATAAAACCCCACATTTTCTGCTTTGAACTGGGATATATGGCAGTGTGGAGTCAGATAACTCAGTTAAAGGCAGATTTTGTTGGATTTTCTGCTTTGATATTCTGGGTTATAAGGGCTGTGTGGAAGGACCCTTAGATAGATTTTCTACGATTTTGGTGTCAGGTATGTGCCTCCCATCTATTCAAACAGGATCAATATACAGCCTTCACTGTACATTTGTATGTGTTGTCATGATTTCACAGCAATCCTTGACAATAGAGATTTTAAAGGGAGAGCACTCCTCTTTCATTACACCCAATGAAACACAAAACACACCTTTCTCTCTTTTTATGTGAAATAAAATATATGGGTAGGGCCCAGGCTTAGACTTAGTTAGAGTATGGATCTGGCTTTTTGTTGTTGTTGAACCCAAAAACCAAAACTGAACTCAGCTTATTTTCAGCTAAAGATTACTCTGTCAAGATTACTCTGGTTTTTTTTTTATTTATTTCAGCAGCCTAACAAGTGGAAATAGTTCATTACTATATGGAAACAGGAATCTGTGACAATCTACTGCAAATTAATAGTGATCTATAAGAAGAGATAGATCCGCCTTTTTTCAACACCTGCTCCATATGGATGAAACAGTAGTCATGGATTAGCCTAGAAAGTACTAGAGCCGTTCCCCACCATATATTTGTAAATGACCCTTCAATTTGCCTGTTGACTTCATAGGTATTTTTACGGCAATGAATACTCAGAGGTGATATTTAGGGACCTGGTGGTGTCACATGGGAAACTACCTTATGATGTCATTAAGCATAATACAGTAAGCATCAACCCCAAATGTTCTGGGCATATAATTCAAACAAAAAACACAAGCCCAAAAATTAGGCAAAGTAGAGAAAGAAGAGGGTGAATTCTCTAGAGCAGAGGTCCTCAAACTTTTTCAAGAGAGCGGCAGGTCACAGTCCCTCAAACTGTTGGAGGGCGCAATTATAATTTGAAAAAAAAACCATGAATGAATTCCTATGCACACTGCACAGATCTTATTTGTAATGCAGAAAACACTTAAAAACAATACAATAATTAAAATGAAGAACAATTTTAACAAATATAAGCTTATTAGTATTTCAATGGGAAGTGTGGATCTGCTTTTGGCTGATAAGATAGGGTTGTTGTTGTTGTGGTGTGCTTTCAAGTTGTTTCAGACTTAGGTTGACTCTGAGTGAGGGCCGATTAAATGACCTTGGAGGGCCGTATCTGGCCCTTGGGCCTGAGTTTGAGGACCCCTGCTCTGGAGACTCTAGACCAGGCATGGACTTCAGCTCCCACAATTCTTAACAGCTGGTATGTTGGCTGGGATTTCTGGGAGTTGGAAGTCCAAAACACTTGGAGAGCCGAAGTTTGCCCATGCCTACTCTAGCTGTCTACAGTAGCCATTCCATAACTCTTTGCAACAACAGGAGTCATCCGCACATGTTTTTAGTGCTCTTCCTTTTTTGAGGCCCAGAGAACAAGAGGACAGACCCTGAGATCTGAAAATCCTATCACTACAGGGGTAAGTGGACTGCAACTCCAATCAACCCTTGTTAGCACACCACAAAAACTACTATGACCCCAACAACAACAAAAAATCCCAGTCAGTATCAGCACATATAAATCCATATTCTTGTTCTTTTTCCCTAACAGACATGCAATTAAATATATTTGCTCTTTAAGTAACAAAACAAGATGAAAAGCTTTCAAACAATACAGAATCATAAAGATAATAGTAGTTGTTATGAATATTTGAAGATCATTGCAACTTAAACACAGTTAGAAATAATTTGAGATTCTACAGAAGCAGCTCCTGGCATATTTGATTCACTGTTTTTCATATGTGCATAAGTACAAATAGAGATGAGACAGAACTGCTGGGGGAAATGGAAAATCAGATGTGCTACATATGAAACAAATAATAAAGCAATATCCCCCACAATGAGAAACAAAACCAGATTTTTTTTTAAAAAAAGGCTATTTTTTATGAAACAAAACTATATGCAGCAACGAGTCAACAATGTATTCTCTTGATTAATTTAAATAGCACATGAGATGCTATTTTCACTTAGACATCAAAACCAAAATAAAAGAAATAAATCCTGTTTTGATGTTTCCTTGGATCCCATAACCCAGCAAAGTAAGTACGTCTCACCACGTGAAACAGAACTATGTATAATGAGGTAGCCTACATATCAGACACTGAAAGGTCTTGTGGCTGGAACCCTTCATGTATGATATGCCGTCACCTTCATTATAATACATGGAGAGCAGTGCAAAGGGATCTGCTACCATGTACTATTGGCTCTTCTGGGTGTAGCTATACACCCATGACTTACGAGTTTTTCCGGCTTGAAGCCTCCTCGGCAGAGGGTAAACTGAAGCCGCTCCAGAGGCAGTTGGGTGAAAAGCAGCTCTGGCGGCGTTTGAACTGAAGTTTTTCAGGCAGACAAACCATTCTGATGGCATTTTGAGAGATGGATGAGCATGGAGGAGAAAAAGAGAAGGAAGCAGTGAGGAAAAGAAGAAATGGCAAAGCAGAGAAAGAAAAGAAAGGCACTAGAGGAATTGATATGGCGGGAAAGAATGGTCTACAGAAAAAAATTACATAGAAAAGAGACAGAGAGGAAGGGAAGAAAAAAATGTAAGCAATGTGTAATGTACACTGAATTTTGCATTCTTCTACAAATTTCTTCTTTCCAAGGGAAAACATAGAAATAACTCTACAGGAGCCCATGTACAAAGAATGTTAAAACTCGTAAACAGAACCGTTTTATCTATTGTTCCCAAAACAGATCAGAGTTCATGAAAATGCTACATTGGAGGATGTGCAGATTATATAAAATCCTATTGCAGTTAACTTGTAAAAAAAAAACATCCAAATTGTTGAGCCCACAAGAGATTTCAGGCTACCCTTTAACGTAATATCTTATTTTCTACTCCTTCAGAGCAAAACTTGTCCATTCAAATTTGATCATATTGCTCTGAACCCTTCATTCAAGATGTATACAGGCCTTATTGCAAATTACCAACAAAATGATGCCTAAGAATCTTATGAGGCACCAACCACTGTCATTTGATAAAAATGTTGTAAATCAACCAATGTAGACTGATAGTCTAACGGGGGAGTTCCCTGAAGATACTATGCTTCTACATTCTAAATCATCCATTATTTTAAAATCTGTTTACTTTTATCGTCAGTAAGAAATATACAAAAAGCACTTTTAAAAACAAATGTGATATTAAGTATTAACAATCCTTTACAGACATGTTGTTGCAATTCATCCATATGTCTACTCTCTGCTGGGTTTCTTTGGAACTTGGCAATGCATACTGCGATATATTCACAGTGCAATTCATGTGAAGCAGCTGTTTTTGGACACACATTACTTGATACTTAATATATGTAGATGCTCCACTTTTGGGAGGAGGGCAGTAGATTCAAAGAGTGCTACTACCCAATGTCTGCAGTTGCTCAAGTCGCTCCTGGTCGTATTTCAATACAAACTCTTTCTTGCCTGAGCCCAACCAGTAACCACAGTAAGTCTGATTCATTGCATAAAACGAAGACTCTGGAGACCAGGGTTCAAGTGCCCGCTTGGCTATGGAAACTCACTGGGTGACCTTGGGTAAGTTACGCTCTCTCAGGCAAAACCCTTTATGGGCAAATTTTGCCAAGAAACCTCCATAATGGGTTCTCTTTATGGTTGTCAAAAATCAGAAATGACATGAAGGCTCACAACATCAACTATGTGATAGCCACAGAACCCTAAATAGTGACAGATCCTTTGGCATAACCACATTTCCTACTCTAATCTTACAATCTTTTAAATTATAATATTGGAGGAATTCATACTGAATTTGAATTAAAAGCATGAAGAGGATTCTGCAGCAGACTTTAAACCCACTTTATGGATAAAAGTCTGCTGAACTTAGTGTGACTTACTAAGCATACGTAAGGCAGTGCTTCTACTATTAATATATCCTAAATGCAGATTCACATATAGGTGACTATAGATACTCAATAGCTAGTAAAATGAAAGAAGTAGCCAAGTTAGAGTTTGATCAAAATGCCAAATTAATTATTTTTGATTTTCAAACTAACACTTCACCTTGACAGGTGCAGCTAATATTTCTTGCAGGAAGTTAGATCTACTACACAACTTAAAATTATGAAACTAAGAACATTTGATTAGGCAGGAAAGAGTAGTGATCCCAGACCTTTCACCATATAAACTAGTGATCTTCTCACTACATTCAGATCTTGGAAAGGTTAATTTTGTGGTTAACATCCAGCTGCTAGCTCCATCCAGAGTACATCCATTGAATCAATGGGAACATAATAAATTATTCTAATGAAATAGGCCTAACAATTGAGCTGAGGACTACAACTTTCAGAACCCCCCAGTCATTTTAACCGCCCCACATGCATGCTGGAGGATTGTGAGAATTATAATCTAGGAAAAATATGTTTTCAGAATTCTGCCCATGTTTTGGATTCACGTTCAGAGAGGAAGCTTGCTCAATGTGGCAAAGTTCTGTTCTGACTGCAGAGAACTTATGGGGAAGTAGCATAGGTCAGCAGCCTTTCCCTTTATAGCCAAGAATCTCATGTGTGGGCAGCATGTGTCATGGGGGGTGGGGGTGAGATGAGGAGATGCAATGGCAGGAACAGGGCATGTTCTACTATCTGCCCACATAAGTTTAAAAATGCAGAAAGGAGAGGCCAGAGCTACAGTTATGCAAGTCATGAGTGTGTCCACACTGAAAAGCATGGCCAACATCAGGGGTAGGGCTGACGAATTCCTATGAATAGGATTCACATATACAGCATAAATGTCTGCCATGGGAGAATCCTCACACATAAAAAGCTTTAGGAATGAAGAGTTATCCTCATAAACATTCACACTGAATGGATAGATGGATGCTATTTCAGGAGACAGTCTGGGACAGACCTGACTATGAAGTTCTGTGCTGCTGTTACTCATAAATATGATGTCTGAGTTCGACCTATAACACTCAAAGAGGGCAATATGCAACAGGTCTAATACCATATTTACTTGAGTCTAAAATGCCATTGAATCTTATGCGCACCTAAATTTTCAGAACCCTGAAGCGCAAAAAAGGATTTCTGCCAAAAGTAATGTACAATGGCAAAAGTGTTCTCCTTGTAATTGGACCAATAAAAGGTATGCATTACAACTGCTGGTTGCTTAGAATTACTTCTTTAAAAACAGAAGTGTTAGAACATCAAAGCTTCAAGCAATGGAAAAGAAAACCTTGGGTGCATCTGTAGAACGAATCCACTTTAACTGCTTTGGTTCAATGCTATGGGGTCCTGGGCCTTCTCTGACAGAAAATGCTGATATCACAAATCCCAGGATTGCATAACATTTAATTATGACAATTAAATGAGAGCTGACGTCACTGAAATAGGAACTCCTGAAGCAGCTTCCCCTTTTGCTTTGGCTAAGCATGAGGATAAACATATTATTTGAATCTAATGTGCACCCTAATTCTGGTGAGATCATTACATTCAAGTAAATAGGTATATAATATTATATATTAAAAGGTCTAATATATGCAATACATGTATATTATAACACTGGAAGATCTTGCAAGCCAAGTTAAAATTAACTGTGTACTGTAATGTTTATGTATTTATTTCCTTTATGAGATTGTAAGAACTTTTTGGAGCCTCCGGTGGCGCAGTGGGTTAAACCGCTAAGTTGCTAAACTTGTTGACCAAAAGATTGCAGATTTCAATCCGGGGAGAGGTGTGAGCTTCTGCTGTCAGGCCCAGCTTCTGCCAACCTAGCAGTTCAAAAAGTGTGTATTAGATCAATAGGTACTGCTCCGGTGGGAAGGTAACAGTGCTCCATGCAGTCCTGCCAGCCACATGACCTTGGAGATGTCTATGGACAACGCTGGCTCTTTGGCTTAGAAATGGAGATGAGAAGCAACCCCCAGAGTCAGACATGACTGGACTTAATGTCGGGAAAACTTTTACCTTAAGCTAAGAACATTTTAAAACATTCAGGGCTTCAGCAATGTAACTAAGGAACAATTGTGTGTGGCAAGACCTCATTGATTTGCAGTGTTGTAATATAAACAAAAAGAAGGGCACTGCCAGGGACATGTGCATTATTAGCAAACAAGCAGCTGCAAAGTAAGAATATTACACACACATACATAATGTACTCATCTTATTGCAAGATAAATACAAACAGGCCGAGAACAAAGAATGTAATGAAATTGGAAATTGCTGTGTTTTTGCTAAGTGCTACCATAATAGTATTTTGTTTTAAAACATTTTGGCAAAACTTAAGACAAACCTCCCTTGTGAGGTCACTCCTCTCCATCCCAGTCCTTTTACTTCCTTACCTCAGTGTAGAATGCCTGCTAGAGCGGGAAATGCTACTGCCAACAGGAGAGGACAAATTACTTCCTCGATGAAGATCTTCTATGGAACGGCTCCAAGGTTTAGATTTGTCCATTGAGTTTTCCATGTTGTTTTCCAAGCTTTCAAAGTCAAAGCTGAAAAGGGAAGAAGTAGATATTTCAATTCTGATGTAGTTGTACCTCCAGGCCATTTGTTGTGTCTTCAACCTATCACAGGGTTTTCTCTAAAAGATTTGTTCATATAGGATTTGCAATTGCCTTCCTCTGATGCTGGGGGACTATGACTTGCCCCAGGTCGGCCACTGGGTTTCCATGGCTATGATGGGATTCATTCACTGATCTCCTAGTGGCCTAATCCAATACTCAAACCACTATACCACACTGGTTCCCCTGAGATTGCAATGCAGGTTTGGGGGGGGGGGGGAGAAAGAAAGAAAGGAATAGAAATATGAAGAGCATTTTGCCCCCTGATGCAGAACATCTGCAGATTTACTGTGTCCCAATAGATTATTGTCAATGATAAAGTGACAGAGGACACCATAAGATGTTTTCCCTTGAGCTGAAAAATTGCTGGTTTAACATACATTTCACATTACATTTGGATCTTGAGAAACAGGAAAAGACAAACCAAGGAAATATCTTATAATTTTATATTTTTCCAAACTTCAGTACTGCGTAAAATGTTGAAGGACAACTTTCTAGACCTAAAATAGATCACTCAGTTTTTGAGTGCTAAAGTAGATTGCTCAATTTTCTTTTAATAAATTAGTAAGTTACTTTTTTTAGACTATAGCTACTAGAACCCTTGAACCAAGAATGATAGATTATAACAGTTGTAATAAAAAAAACTAAGTTTTCCAAAACTTGGTTCTAATTAAGCTTCAGTTGTTAATATGTTCTTGGTCCCACCCACCCCCTTGGAAGCGCAACTGGTAGGGACGAGTGACGGGGCCTTCTCAGTGGTGGCCTCTCGTTTGTGGAACTTGCTCCCCAGTGAAATTAGATCCACCCCATCCACCCTGACCTTCAGGAAAAAACTGAAATCATGGATCAAGGATCAAGATTTCAGCCAGTAACAGGAATAGTGCAATATGAGACTACAAATTAACATAATGACGACCTAGACTAGCCTTGGAATAAGATTTGGATCATGTGATTTTAATTCATGTTTTAATGCTATGTTTTTAATGAGTTTGGTTTTAACGTTTTTGTTTATTTACTGATGTATTAATATATGGCATTGGATTGTTGCCTTTGTAAGGCCGTCCTGAATCCCCTTCGGGGTTGAGAAGGGTGGGATTTAAAAGGGGTAAATAAAAATAAATAAATAAATATTCACCCTGATAAGAATAGTCAAAAGCAAATTCCCAATCTTCTCTTACGCAACTGTGATCACTGCAAATCTTGCTTTGTTTTGGCAATTCTTCCTTTTGTCCAATGGTAGCATTCTTTGAAAAGAGAGCTACCTCTTTCTGCCTTGCATTATTTTCAAATTAATTCTTCAGTGTCCCATGTTAGGGAAGTGTAAATGGGAAGTATCATTGAAAATGGAGTTCATTTGGAGATGTGAACTCTTTAAAGGAAGCACACTTTCCTGCCGCATTTTTCCTACAGAAGTTATATTTAAAAACATGCCATCCTGAGCTAAAGCAAATATATTCTTTTCTAAACAAACAAGAAAAACACTCTTGTTCATATTCAAAGTCAAACATAAAACTGTGATTCTATCTATCTTAAAAGCCATGGTCTTAATCCACAAGAACCACAAATAAAGCACAAGTTCCTTTGTCTCCGTCAGTCAAGATCCATCAGAGGATCTGTGGCTGAAGAGAAGAGGTTTCTCAAAGACAGTGAACAGAAACAGGGCACTAAAGTTATTCCAGACCAATGACCTCTCTGTTCTGAAGTTCTGAATAGATACTTCCCCAGATAGCAATCACACTTCTGCTACTATTATCCTGTATCCTGTCGAAACTGCTTGGACTTAATCAAGTATCAACGACAGAGAAAAGGAAAGGAGAAGTTTGACCAAGACAAGCTTCTGCTTGCTCTGCTTCTGCTGTACTATTTAAAGAAGAACATCATAGTTTCACCCACAGTGTCATCTGGGCTGTGCTACAGCAAATGTATGATCTTGCTTTCCTCAAGCTGAACGAAGGAAAACACTTACATTGGATAGCAGAGCCATCCACAGCAGAGCACATGTTTTGTACACTGATGTCCCAAAGTTCAACCCCTCCCCACAGCTGAAAGAATCTCTGGCGGCATCTACACTGTCATATAATACAGTTTCTGGATCTAGATTATCTACTTTGAACTGGATTAGAAGAGTCTACACTGCTATATAATCCAGTTCAGAGCAGACCATCTAGATTTTCCTGATGCTTTTCCTGATGCTTCAGAATGTCTCTATTGATAATTAGTGTGCAATTCAAAGATATGGACTATCTGATCTGAGTGTGGAAAGCATGGACCTTGTGACAGTGAACAACATCCTATATTTCCAAAACTGTCACATCTCGTGTGTGTGTGTGTGAATGTATCCTCCAAGTTGCTTGTCAATCTATAATATCTCCATGGATATACAGGATATTTTTTAGACAAGGAATTCTCAAGATGTGATTTTGACAACCTACAGCAGCTGGGATTTCTTGGCAGTCTCACATTCAAGTCCTACATCCCGCCTCGCAGTTTAAGATCATCCGGGGAGGCCCTGCTCTCGCTCCCGCCAGCGTCGTAAATGCTGCTGGCGGGGACGAGAGACAGGGCCTTCTTGGCTGTGGCCTCCCACCTATGGAACTCACTTCCCACAGAGGTAAGATCAGCTTCATCCCTCCTGTCTTTTCGCAAGAAATTGAAGTCGTGGTTATGGGACCAGGCTTTTAGACAGCAGGCATAAATAGCACTTTGGATATGGAATTCGACTGGAATGATGATATAGCTGTTAATACTGTGTTTTTATTGTTTTATTGCTTATAATGAATGTTATTTTTATTATATTGCTTCGTTATATGTAGTAGCATTGAATTGCTGCCAAATGTAAGCTGTCCTGAGTCCCCCTTCAGGGGTTGGGAAGGAACGGGGCAGAAATACGGTAAACAAATAAATAAATAAATAAATAAATAAATAAAACTAACCAGAATGGACCATGCTTGACTTTCAAGATCAGACAGGATCTGTTGCTTTAGGGTATTTAGGCCTTATTGCCTTACATTTATAATGATATAAGGAGTGCAACATATATGACATAAAATATGACATTTCAGGCGGCAGCTTTCTGAAAACAAAATTGCAAATGACCACACTATATGTTGTTTTACATCTTCCCAGTGCCAACCTATTTTAATGCTTCATCCACTTACTGCAAGCTACCCCCATCCCATATTTTACTTACGTGACTGCATACTGTGCAAATGATAAATAATCCACCAAAACATCTAGGCCTTTGTTTTCTTCATTCAAAAACTCTCTGACCCATCTGTTGGAAAAATCATTTAGAAAGGCATCAGCATATTTGTATTAAGGAAAATCAATCCATTCCCATTCCCCCACCTCCAAAAATAAAAATCCACACTCATTTTAGGATGAAAAATACCCAGTGTAAAAACTGCTCATTTCTCAGTCAGCCACTTCACAGTTAGAAATGGAATGGTGCCACCAAAAATCTGACAGCTTTAAGAGCACAACAAATCTTAATCACTGAGGGCCCTTCCACACAGCTATATAACTCAGAATATCAAAGCAGATAATCCACAATATCTGCTTTGAGCTGGATTATTTGAGTCCATACTGCCATATAATGTAGTTCAATGTGGATGTTATACAGTTGTGTGGAAGGGGCCTGAGTTGATTTTACTATTAAGCAGAGTGAGATACCCCACTGCAGAAAGATCTGGTGGCTGTAATTTCTGAATGTTGGGTGCACTAAAATATCTCTGGTTTTGTTGTTTGATCTAGAATCTGGAAAAGAATGAGCAGTGAATCAAACAATAGCATGGAAGCAAAACCAAGTCAATTGAACTATGTCAAAACAAAAACAGATGTATGGGGGGGGGGGGGGGCTCTATACAGGGAATGTGGACCGAATCATACCAAAAATATCCTCATGATATTTCACTATATAACTCATTTCAAAAAGAAACTCAAAGCCTCTGCGTGGCTCAAAGCATATTTTAGTTTGGCAAAACCTGATATATTTGATAGTATTGCACTTACTTAGTGGTAACCTGTACATTGTTTCTGGGCAAACTTAAATTACACAGAATTAATAATAAGGAAATCATATCTGAAGGCATGCAACATGACTCTGGAGAAGCCATTAAGGGGAAAGCTGCATAAGTCTGCAGCATCAGGGAAATAATACCAGACTTGATGAATAGGGTACTTAGACCACCACCACTGAGCTGTATTTGTGTGCCTTCAAGACAACTGTTGACTCATGGCAACCCAATGATTTTAATAGGCAAGGAATAATCAGAAGTATTTTCCCTTTGCCTTCCTCTGAAATATGCTCTATAGTACCTGGTATTCTTTGTTGTCTCCCACCCAAGTATTAAATGAGATATGATGGGATCAGGTACCCTTGTGGTATATAGGGCTACCACCACTGAGACACGGACATCCTAATTAAAGGAAGGGTTAATTATATCTTATTACTCATTTATCATTTATTCTTAACATTTCTGGAAAAAGGGCCCTCAAGGCAGCTAATAAAATTAAATTAACTACAATTCATATTGGAAAGTCCCCTTCAGCTATAACTCAACCTGGATGGCAAAGGCCACTCTGAATAAACAGATTTTTGCCTTCTAATGGAACATCAACAGACTGACCTAACTTCTTTTGGAAGTGCCCCCTGGGAAAACTCTTTCTTTATCTCTTAGTATTTCAGCAACACAGCAAAATCATCATTCTAGGATAGTCTCTATTGCAGAGTTGAACATACACATTTTCTAGCTCAACGTGCTTCATAAAATTGTTTTATTTATCATATCAGAAGCAAACCAAGGATACAGTTGTAATGTATTTTTTTAAAAAAAAACAGAGTTTAAAAACTTGGCATTATGTTAAATGTCCTTTGACCAGAAGTTGACCACTTGGAGTACCTTTGATGTTGCTGTGAGAAGGTCCTCCACTGAGGATGTGGCAAGGCTCAGACTGTATTGTAATAGGTGGTCTGTGATTTGCTCTTCTCCACACTCGTATAAAATCAGGGATAAACATTTATAGAGCTCTACTGGATTACTGTTGAAATACATATGTATGTACGTGTGTATATAATATTAATTAATTGATTCAATGTTTTCAGTAAGTTAGCACCTAGCAAACTTTCATACATACAGCAACTGCAAGTCTGCAACATAAAGAATGTGTGAGATGCTTTGTGATTCAAAGTTAGCCTTTGATTTTGCTCTAGCTACAGTTTAATAAATCATAAAATTCTTTAAGTTAAAAATGCTGATAAAAGTGTGAGCAACCTGCGGCCTTCAAGATGTTACTGTGCTGCAATTCAGGACACCCTACACCACTATGCTGGTTAAGAATTATGACAATTGCAGTTCAACCACATATGTGATATGAAGCCACAGAAAAAGAGCCATTGCTCACACAACCTTTCCATGTAGCTGTCAAGGTTTTTTTTTTTTCAAATAAAGGGAAAGAGAAGATGAGCCAGTGACAGTGGACAATGTAGATGGTATTGTACTTCATGGTAACCTGTACATTGTTTCTGGGCAAACAATGCCCAGCTATAAACAGTGGTCAAATGTGGCATAAAATATTCTTAATTAAGGAAACTGCATTATTTATATTTTGTTTCAGGACAGTATACCCGGCCTTTTGGTCCATTTTTAGCCTCACAACTTCCATAGTATCAAGATGATTCTGCAGGACATGAAGACCATGGTCAAAAGCAAACAACATTTTTCTGTAAAGCTGATCTTTCTATATTAAACAAGAGTTTACATTTTCAAAACCATAACACATTATCAGCTCAGCCCTAGCATTTGCTAATTGGAAATAAATACCAGAGAGCTCAACAAAGTTTTCATTGTTTTAAAGACACCTCTGGGTACTAGGGTTTCGGATAGTTAAAATAAACCCAGGCTTGGACAAACAAAGGATTGTTCCAGCAGCCAACTTCGCACCATGCAAGTTTAGTACCATTTGCCAAATGATGACCACTCATCCAGTTTTGAGCTGGGAAAGGAAACCATGAGGTAACTTTTGCCTTAAGGCTATGAAGTGATCATATGATTCCACCTGGCAGAAACCAAGAATCCTGGAAACAACCTGGAGACTTTATTTTCAAATTGTTTTCAAAAGATGAAAATGTGTGATCTTATGCTATATGACCAGTTTTTATAAGACAATTTTATTATGTGAAAACTGACGTGGAAGTCTAATAGTAGCTGTTATGTGTCCCCCACCAGCTCTTAAAATGCCAATGTGCTTTAAGGCTTGAGAGATTTATAGGGACAATCACTGAGCAAAATTCTGGATACAGCAACAACTTGGCTATCTGTGCAAATCAGCCTGTTTCCAGGCCCAGCTACACTGCCATATAATCCCATTTCTGAATCCAGATTATCTGTTTTTACAGGATTATACGGCAGCACAGACTCATATAACCCAGATCAAAACAGATCATCTGGCTTCAGGAACTGGATTATATGCCAGTGTAGATCCAACCTCAAAGTACATTTGTGAATTGCTTGCTGGAGGTTTTGCTTGAAGGAAGCTAGATAACTTATTTTAAGATAAAATGGAAAATGTCAGCAAATTAGCAACCATGCTTCTGAGATCTCTAGAGCTGACACACTTCTTTAAAATGGATATTAAACCAAACTGGAACATGGTCTGAGAAGACAGTATGGGCATGATGCTGTCATCCCAAACTGTAGAGTTAGGCTTCAAATCTGTACCCAATTTCTTTGGAGTAATCTCAATAATGACATATTCTTGACTGAAGCACTATTTAGGTCCCATCTACATTGCCATAAAATCCAGTTTCAGGATGCAGATTAACTGCACAACTGGATTATACGGCAGTGTAGATGGGGCCATAGGCTAGTGTCAAACTGCTATAATTCTGCAGTGTGTATGTAGCCTCGGTGTCTTACAATGCAATGCTCTCCTCTTGAAATATGGTGAGAAAATGCACCAGGTCCAGGAACCTCAAGTGTGGCAGATGCTTTGCCGCACATGTAAGGATGCTATATCAATTCTCAAATGATATATGTGCCTAGGTGCAAATAAGCTGTAAACCATTTGCACAATTGACTTTCACAGCAGACACATACAACTTCAAAGTAGTAATGAGCCTAGCAGAAATGGTCTCTAACTCCTGTCACAGAGAACATCTGGTATTACATTTGAGTAAGTTGTACATTTTGCTTGGCATTTGAAAATAGTTCTCTCCCAAAACAAAAAAGATATCTGTGTGTGTGTGGAACACAAGCACTCTTCCACTAAATATTGAATTTCGGTAGGGCAGGGGAGTAATCCCAGAATGTGAAGATCAATGAAAAGTGTTGCAATAACATGCAGACTTCTCCAGCATGTCATCACATTGCCTGAATGTTGGCTTCGCAGCCAACTATGTACTAACAATGTTGGCTTAGCATTGGTATTCCATGGTCAATTTCACTTCAAGTAAACTGGAAGGCAGAACAGGATGGTGAGCAATAAAACCATCACTATTAAAAGAGAACCCTTTTGTGGAAGATCTACTATATAAAATATGCAAATGTATACTTAAATTGACATTCTCTTTTGAAGAAACATCATAATTGTTGAATGTTCTTCCCCTAAAATTTCAGTGCCTGAGCAATATGTGTATGTGTGTGTTATGGTGACCACATGAATTTCATAGGGTTTTCTTAGACAAGGAATACATAGGTGGTTTTGCCAACTCCATTCTCTGAAATATAGCCTATAGAATCTGGTATTTGCTAACCAGGACTGACCCTGCTTTCCTTCCAAGATCAAATAGGATCTGGTGCCGAGAAAGCTTTCTTTTTCATGGAGGATATTTATAAGCCCAGCAGATGAGTCAAATTAATTTACACTAGCAATCCATAGGTTCTTTATGCGAAAGCATAGAGCAAACAGGCAAGCAAATGGGAGGAGGCAATGGCTGGGGGAAAGGATAGAGCTGGTGAGGGAAAGCAGTGGCGGAAGCAATAGAAAGCATCGAGCAAGTGGATGAGAGGGGAAAAAGCAACAGTGGCAGGAGAAAGCACCAGACTGGTGAGGGAAAGCAGCAGTAGTGGCAGTGGCATGGGAAAGCATTGAGAGGGCAGGCAGGCAAAGCAGAAGGTGTGCAGGTGAGGGAAAGCAGAGGGTGGGTGGGCAGGCAGAAGCAGCAGGAAGTGCTTGGTGGGTGGCACCAACGATGCGTACGGGCCACATGTGGCCTTAAGTGTACACCCCAAAAATCCCAGGATTCTTTGTAACAGTAAAAGGACACGAGGAAGCTAAATTTTTAAAGGAGGATATTTATAAGCCCAGCAAATGATTCCAAACCAGAAATGTTGCCTGGAGGCACAGACTTGAAAAACACTCTCTTGTTTTATTCACTTTTGTATTTGAAACATAAGAGGACAGATCTGTACCAAATGAGTGATTAACATTTGCCCAAATGTCCTTAAAAATAGAACAAAACAAGGAAGCTTACCCAATATGATTGGTTCTTAAAGATATTTCCAGTTCTCGTAAAACCTGTGTAGATTCTTGAACTCTTCTCCTAAATTTCTGTAATTTACATAGAAAGTAAACAATATGATAATTAGATTGCCAATTATAAAATCTAAAAAATATATCTGAAAAAAAGACAGAAAAAAATCATTAATTAAGACACAAAGAACTAGACTGCTTATCATGGTATATGGTAAGCAAAAGTCAAATGCATTTTACGTAGAGTACATCTGAAATGGAAACAATATATTTTCCCTTATTGTTTTTTGCTATGCCACAACTGCTAATATGTCCTGAGGGCTGTTCACGAAAAATAACAGAATAGGTTATGCTTTTGAACACTGAATATACTAGATAATCTCCACACATATGATAAATTCCTCCACATTGATCCCTGGATAATACAGATGATCAAGCCATGTGGTGGCAGCAATATATATGTTCACCTGTTTCTTATTGTTGTTGTGTGCCTTCAAGTTGATTCTTATTCATAGTGACTCAAAGGTGACCCAATCACAGAAATGTTTGTTCAGTTGGCTTCCATGTCAAAAACCTCTTTAAAAGTTTCTTAACCATCTTATCAGAAGTGCAGGACCTGTAGCCCTTGGTCACTGCTCCTCTGGCCCAAACAATTAGAGGAACTTTTCCCTCATTTGCAAATTACTGTTTCCCCTGGTAATCATAGGAAAACAGTAGAATCAATGGAAATTTCTTAGCTAAAAAAGAAGCTTTATTCTCATCTGCTCAGGTCCTGTAACCAATGTCAGCACATTTGTGTGTATGTGTGTGCACTGACTCTACACATGTAATATGTATATGTATATGAATGTGCGTGACCCCTGCCAATAGTGGTAACCATTGAAGTTATTTTAAACAAGTAAGTTATATGCTCCCCAGGTCAGCATTTTGGACCCACTGAAGTTTCTGAACATTTTATAAAGAAACCCCAAGTAAAATGTGTCACAGTTCTCCAAATGGGATATAATCTCACTTTGAGAGAAAGGTGGGATATAAATTCAATAAAATAATTAAATAATTGTTGCCGTGTCCTAATCTGTTGCCGTAACCAAATCTCAAGGAATAGGGATAGCTGACATACTAGTTTTACCTATGCAAATGCATTCTTGGCCATGGCTAAAATCTGGGCATTCAGGCACAGAGCTGAGTCCAGGCCTTGCCTGTTGCTAAACAGAGAATCCCAGTGATAAAGCTTGGAGAGGTTGACCACCATCACCCAGCTTCATCCAGCCAGGTCTCTGTAATACTGGCCAGGTTGGCATGCTCATTTGGGATCAAGTCCTGGATCAAAGATATTTTCCCATCACCGTCTTGGCATTGAATGGTCATAAGGACCTGTTGCCAAGGCTGTGTGGACTATAAAGCAGGGGACAGCTTTGGGGGAACTAACACTCTATGCCCCACCCTTCCACCATTATGTCATCCATACCATATCTCCCTTTGTCTGTCACTATTGTAATGGCTGCTCCATTAGCTACTTCCCCTCCCATGCCTCCCTTGTGACTAATTTTGGTTTGCCAGTGATCAGGTAACTTTAAAAATTATAAAACTCATGCATTCTTCTGTTACAAATAAAGGGACTGGACAGAGGCAACCCCACTGGCAGCAAGCCCTCTGCAGCAGACACAAAGGATGGTCCTCTGGTTCATTAGCCTGTATCGGGCTGAGTATTTTATAAAATTAACTTCCAACACATCAATAATTTACACCTTCTTAAAAATAATTACACAAACGAAAGGAATAGGTAGAGACATGCAGCATCATGAAAAGCCACTATCAAATTATTATTAACATTATTTTTTTCCTATTAATCCCAATGTAGACACTTATTGATTCCCTTTAAAGTATAAAAAAAACTGAGGCAAAAATGCATGCTTGCCCATGCCAGTTTAAGTCACAAGAAAAATGGGAAGATCTTCATGATCCTTCTACTAGTTCCTACTACAGTGGTTAAATTTAACTGGGCTGCTTCCTGGTCAGCATTTGCCAATAGAAATGGAGGCACAGTATACTTGGATACCATATAAAAGTCTACTCTTGGGTCAGGTTCAAACCAAGAAACTTACAAACAAAAGTTCATATAACTGTATATCTCCAGTTCTTTGGCCTAAATTGCTAATATTGTCAATGGGAAAGGCAAAACATATATTTATTAATTCTCTGTGCTGAGGACCCAGTTGCTTAAGTTAAGAGGGTGGAAATCAAATAACTATCCAAGCAGAAACTCTTTCAGGCACTTTCAGTCTGGGCTCCATTTGAACTTTTGGCCTACACATGCTGTGGTCTGAAACCCATAAACAGTGTGGTGTGTGGTTTTACTCAACCACCACTAAAACTTCACCATATGCCAGAAGTCTATAGCCTCTGTGGTATTCATAAATTGTTTCCTTCTGACCTGCACAGACAACCTTCAGTGCTCCGTCAACCATATAAGTATAAAATGGAATAAAATATTTACACTTTGAAAAAAAATGCAAGTAAGAAGCAGGTCCTGCCTACTGACACATACACATGGCCCATTTATATGATTTTAGTGGAATTGGGCAGTCAAGTTTTCATGGACTACAGTTCATTCTGGCTAGGGTGTGCTGTTGTGTATTGAATGGCGGGAAAAGTGGGTCAAGAAAAGACTGAACTTAGAGAATTACTTTGGAAAAGTAATGAATTACAGTTAACATTTGGGTACTTCACTCTAATTAGTTGTCATTGTAGATGTAGTTTTAAGAGTTTAGTCTTTTTTTTCCTATTTCTGTAAAGTACTGCATATAGTAGCACAAGTTTAGACATTTTAGGGAAATAATACATACCAAATCTGAGTAGACTTTCCCCAGCTCAATTTAAGTATTGTACCTAACTCTTATCAAAAAGAAGCTACCCCCTTTTCTGAATAGAGTGGCAACAGGCAGGAGATTAGCCCATCTAGAAGAACGCAAAGGAAGCACTGACTTCCTCTGCTTTATCCCCTGCAGTGCTGCTTTTGGCCATTTTGAAGGCTTGGGTGCAAAAATGGCACTGGTGGTCAGGGGCAACTGGTTCACCTGAGGTGGCACTGGCTCTTTCCCTTCTCTGTGGAATGGCCCTTGACTTATTCCTGGGTCACAAAAAAATCCATAATTTTGGCCCTCAAATCTGGCCTTACATAATACTTGGAGTCAACTTATGCAAGAGTATATATGATAATTAGAGTAACTGACAATGGCAGTTACATTTTTAAATACATCTAAAATTCACTGGTCTATGACACAAAATACATGCTCCTTCCGCCTACTGTGTTGCCCCTTGAGCACCGATAATAAAGCATAAGACAACACCATGAGGCAGAACACAATGTAGCAGCTGAACTGTGTGATATCCCTTGTCTACATATCAGTGAGACCACACTTCCTTAAATATAGAACTAACTAAAAATTTATAGTTATGCTGCAAGAAGTGCGAGGTTACTTCTTTCTCACTTAAGGCTGAAATATGCTGTAGTTACATATTGGTTAAAAGGAAAGGAATAAAGTGTTTACAAAAAATTCTTTCCAAACTCATAAATAATACATGGTTAAATCTGAACCTTCCTGTGATGGACAGCAGAGCAGAGGGTCTGTCCAACAAATATAATATGACCCCCCCCCCTTTATCTAAGGAGTGCATGTTTTCACTTTCCTATGCTCCAAAAAGTATCTCCATTCTAGAAGTGTTTGGGTCCCTTCTACACTGCTATATAATCCAGATAGTCAAAGGAGAAAACCCACATTATCTGCTTTGAAATGGATTATATTTGTCTATACTGCCATATAATCCAGTTCAAAACAGATAAACTGGATTTTATATGCCAGTGTAGAAGGCGCCTTGGTCCTCAAGTGCAATTCTATGGTATGCTTCAAGCCCAAGTATAATTAAAAAATTGGGTTTGCATCTATCTATCCACAGTTTTAGGTATCCATAGGGGTTGGGGTTTGGAACCTATTCCCCATTAATACGGAGGTCATTTTGAATAAACAGCTAGTACCAGCTCTTGGAATATTGAGAAGAGGGGCACTGTGGGTAAAATTAAAAGGAGAAGCTTGACTATTAACTGACAGTGAACTGAGAGCTTGGTTTGACTCTGGTGGGAGGTTAAGTGGGAAACTGGTGGTGGAGTGTCTGAGGACAAAATTCAGGAAAAATATTAGGTACACATTGTAAGTTTGAAGTAGGCAGCGAGCCAACTATTGTGCTAGATGTTTCCAAACACCATTTTGCTCAATAACCATTTCTTGTTGTTTTTGGCTTAAGTTCTGTCAAAACGTTATCAATTTAAGGTGGTTTTGAGAATATCAGTCATGTTCACAAGAAATGCCAGATTGTAAAAAAGAGATCATTCCTGTTTCTTTAATGACTGCATAGAAAAAAGGATTTCAGCAGTGCTGTTTTTTTTAATATGACAAGCAACATCTGGTGGAATGATCTTTTCTACCCAACCATTCAAAGTACAGCAGTCCACTCCAGTATTCAGTCTGATAATCTTACACACTATGAGCACATCCAGGGAGCCATAGAGCTTCTAACTAGAAAACCCAAGCTGTGGTTTAAAGTAAAAGGGCAAGGTGAGTAAAAGGAGCCCATGATTAGCTTCTACATGAGTACATTTCCACATGGTTATGGGCAATCCATCATAATTTCCTCCAAAGGGTGCCTAATATTCAGCTTTACTGTTTGAAAATAGTTATGTTTTGGTTTATGATTAGAGTAGATTAGTAAGCCCTTTCACTGGAAGCATCTTCATCTTCTCTCACACATCCCTCATTCCCAGCATAAAGTGATCATTATATGGAAACATTATATGATTTGGCTGTTTTTCCCAACTGGTCCTGAAATGAGTGAATATTTTTATTGCAATAATTCTCACCTTCCTTGTTACAGCTGGATCAAGATATCCTTTTAACTTCTGAATATATGTATGAGGAGGATTCTTGACTTGAAATCTTTCCTGTAGGGAACAAGAGGAATGGTTAGCCATTGAAACAGTTACCAGATACGTGTTGTAGCTAGGCATCATAGTCAAAAACACCACACTTCGCTGGCTTCCCTCCGTTTAATTAACATTTTATCATCCACATTTTATGTATGAGAAACTAGAATAAAGCCCCAAAGATCAAAAGCTCTAGATGAATTAATCAAGCTGTAACTAAAAATAAAATACAGTTATGTAGTTCAGCAGCATTTCTGATTCCTGGGTCAATTCAGCAGGATGTTCTTCGGAGAAAGGAAGGGGTATATATGCTCTTGCGTGCAAAAGAGACAGACAGACAGATATTGGGTAGGAGACATGAATCCTACTACCAAATTAGCTCCAACATCTTGGATAATTGGGACAAAAACCCAGAGCAGGTTCCTTATCACACCAATATAGGATGAACCAGCTAAAAGCCAGAAACCATATAGGGCCCTTCCACAAAGTTATATAACCCAGAATACCAAGGCAGAAAATACCACAATATCTGCTTTGAACTGGAATATATAGCAGTGTAGACTCAGATAACCCAGTTCAAAGCAGATATTGTGGGATTTTCTTGCTTGATATTTTCTGTTTTATAGCTATGTGGAAGCGCCCTCAATTTAATTATAGCTTCACGTTTACTCTTCTTGGGAGTGAAAATCATCTTTATGGTATTTGCAATGCTTGCCATTCTATCAATTATGTGAAAACCGAGGCCCCTTCCACTCTGTCCCTATATTCTAGGATCGGATTCCAGATTATTGGGCAGTGGAGACTCATATAATCCAGTTTAAAGCAGATAATCTGGGATATAAGGGCAGTGTGGAAGGAGCCTGAGTGACTTTGGATATGTTTTCTCTTGGCACACCCTTTTCAAGGCTTCTTAATACATGTTAAAGATTTCAGAAGGAAGTTTAATTTTTTAGGAAATAGAAACCCCTGTTCTTTTAGAGAAGTCAGTGTTCTTTTCAACGTAAGAGCTGATTACTTACTCAAATCTATTTTCATTTTTAAATACTGTATCTAACAAGACAGCAATGTATTAAAAGAGACAAAGGTTTAAATGGGGCAGCTACAGCTCTGTGTTAGTTAGTTCTGTAGTTCTCATTCCTTTAATTTCTATGTTCTGGAACAGCTGTTCCAGGAGCTCCAGATTTATTTGCTGTGTTTAATGTTTGTTTGCAATCCCAGGGTTGGGATTTTGCGGCAGGGTGGCTTCCTGTTATAGGCTGCAATCATAGGGTAAGCCACCTGCCAATTATAGTTAGGTTCCCTGGTCCCGCCCCTTCTTGAGTTTTTGGAGGGAAGGGGCCATTTTTCAGTCAGTCACACAAGGAAGCCAGTCTATAGGACGCAGATCAGCTAGTCCCGTAGGAAAGGCTTCATTCCTCAAAACCTTCCGGGGAAATAGAAATAGCCGTCCGGGGATCATCCAAAGGTGATCCTGGGTCCATCCAGCGACCATCCAGGGGTCATCCAGTGACCATCCAATTCCAGGGAAACAGAAGGAAAAGGTCCCAAAACGCTCTGGCTGAGAGCTCACAGCCTCTCAGCCTCACAGCACCAGAAGGGAAAACAGCCCTGAAGTTTCCACAGGACATCACTGCAGAACCACAGAATTCCAGCTAAACATCTTCTAGCTTCGTCTGGTAGGTTACTCGGTTTCCAGACGCATTTGGGGATCGGCAGTATTACCCAGACCAGCGAGGCCTAGGTGATGGACGGCCTGGGAGGGATTATAAAGAGTTCTTCCTTATGAGATAGTACAGTCAAACCAAGTTAGTGCCAGTCTCTTAAAGACTTGAATAGTAAAGCCGTGAAGTTTTGTTTGAAGATTTGTTCCTTAATAAAGACTGTTGTACTTTTAAAGACTCTAAGGCCCATTACTTTTGGAAGTCTCTAACAATCTCTCTTCGGGCACCCCGGCTTCACACTGGGGACTTTGTTGTACTTTTAAAGACTCTAAAGCCCATTACTTTTGGAAGTCTCTAACAATCTCTCTTCGGGCACCCCGGCTTCCCACTGGGTTTAAAGTGTGCGTTCTATAGAATAAAGACATTTTGTTTGGACCCAGTGGCGACAGAACATCTATCTTTATCTACTTTTAAAAAGTGATTCCTCTTCAATTCCACTTTAAAAATTCATTGGCTCTCTTACTCTATGCCAGCGGGGCATGCAGAAGTCCCGGTCGTTGCCAAACTCTGATCCTCCAGGTGGTTTGGACTTCAACTCCCAGGAGCTTCAGCCAACATAGCAAACAGTCTGGAATTCTGGGAGATGAAGTCCAAAACACCAGAGGACTGTCCTAAGATGCACCTACATTGTAAAGTTAATGCAGTTTGAAGCCACTTTAATGGCTCAGTAAGAAGATGAAGAATTCATGGAATTGTAGTTTGCTGAGACTTCAGCACTCTTCAGCAGAGAAGGTTCAAGGTCTTGTAAAACTAGAATGTCCATGATTCCATAGCACTGAGCCTTGGCAGTTAAAGTGGTGTAAGGACATTCTAAAAGCTTCCTTTCTGTTTACATGCTAATTTCATAATTAAATGTTATGGAAATGCATTGAATACTGTATGTTGGGGTGTCTTTTTACATTATTTTAAGTGTTTGCTTATCTTCTGTAAATATGCATTAATCTCATAATACTGAATTATAACACAACATTGTTTTTTCTTTCAACAAAGACATCCTACACATTAGTATGCTTATCTTACCCATATCTATCTCACATCAGCACTCTTTGAATGTTAACTATTGATAAGCACTTCCTATCTGACAACTGAAATAGAAGGTTCTATTATTTTGTTAAAGCACTGATTCACAAATTACACAGTCTTTAATACCTCCTTATCTTTGCACATGCTATTTTCTTTGCCACCGCAGGCCAACTTTATCCTTATTCAATTGTATCCATGGGTCAAAGTACTCCTAGTAATTTGTTTGCATGAACGAACCACACTCTTAAGATCATTGCTTATTAATATTTATTCTGAAAGTATAAGCATCGAAATTAAGTTGTGAATGGCAGTTGCCTACTAAAGGTTTGGAAATATGAGTTCTGCAAGTCTTGAACAAAATGTGGCTGGTTAACACTGATGCTATTGTTATAAATACCTTCTTCTCTTCTCACTCCCTACAGCAATTTTGAACTGTGTTCAACATATTCTATAAATGTTTCAAGTGGAAAGATAAATGTACAATCTTTTGAGGTATCTAGCGTGCATGGTCAAAGAAGCATATGAAAAGAAATAAAGTAAGCTCTGACTTTGTCCTTCTTCGCCATAGTGAATGCTAATTTATATCTTGAGTTTCAGAACAGAGTCTCCATTACAGACAGAATATGGTGTAACATTAACTTCGGCGAAGTTTTAATGTTAAATTTAACTTGTGAGTAGTGATAAAGCTGGTGAGCAAATGTGCACATGGGAAGAAGGAAGCATGTGATACACTGGGAATATTAAATATTACTAGGCTCATGGATATTTTAACGAGTCTGTTTTATTTTTATTGAATGCATTTGATAACATACTCTTCAATCCAAAAGAATCCAGAAACAGTAAAAACAGTAAAGCTATAAAGCAGTCTGGTTACTATGCAAAAGATATTACATATGCTATAACCATCCCCCCAAAAATAAGACCGATCTCTTGGTTACTGATAAATGTACTGGCTTTGAAGAAACCCAAGCAATTATATATTAGCCTTCCATGAGTAATGCAATGTATACATCACCAGCAATATAATTTTATATACATACAGCTAGAAAAAAGACTGCCGTGATCCCTGAAATGGTTGTTGGCTGTATCTGTAGGCTTTCAATTGCCTACATGGATGATTATATCACAAAGACCTGGACTGCTCACATAGATGAGAATCAGCTCTCAGCCCGACATACACCTCTGAAGCAGCTAACAGAAGAAACAGAGAACTTCACATATTGCTCCCCAATGCATATGTTTCTTTGACTCACCATGCGGGAAAGTGCTCAGTGAATCATAAACCTGGCATGCATGAGCAGTAAAATGCAATCATTAGTTAGAAAGTTATACACCAAAAGCATGATTTTTCTGCCAACTTCTCTTGAGCAGACAGACATCTCTTCTAAAACTAATGACTGGAGAAAGCACATTACGCTGCTGGGAATACACTCTGTTCAAACTTGTTTACAACTGTCGGAAAGCCATTCCCTGGATAGTTACTTCATCTCACTCTTCTTTCTCCTCGGCTTCTTTCCTTTGCTTTCTACTTCCAAATGAAGAGCTCCGGAAGCTCCAGTTTTTTCTTCAAATCTCTGAAGAAATGCAATATACTCTCAGGATCGGCAATGAATGCAGACCAATAACACTTCTGCTAGCCAGATTAAAGTCCAAGTAATTTGTCTGAGCTAAGATGAGCCCTAGTTGGAAATGGCTTAACTAGTAGTCGAAGAATAATTCAAGGGCTTGTCATTTGGGAAAACAAGAATGGTGAGAGATTATTTCAAATTGTCTCAACATTTTCTATTCAGAATAATTGGAAAGAGGCCTAGGATGTTCAGAACTGATTTCTCATTCTTGGTTAATACTACAAAGAGATACTTAAATGTATAATGGAAGATGTCTTTATACAGCATCAAAAGACTTTGTTCTCCACTTTCAAATAAGTGGAAATATTGTAATAATAAATACACTTGGCAGGCCAGGGCGACCGCACTTACTATATTCAGGGTATTTCTGTGCTTCTAATTCAAGATTAGGTGAAACAGGTAACGTTTTCACACATGAATTTTAATCTAAATGTCCTATACTGAATAGAATGGTGTCACCTTATTGTTTTAAATTCTCATTGAGTCACAAGCAAATCTGAATTGCAAATATAGGTAATCTCTGTTATCTTCAAAATGGAGTGATTCCGTCTGAGTCCCTCTGGGGAGATAGAGCGGGATATAAATAAGTTTTATTATGATGATGATTTTTAATTTACTGCATTTGCACCACACTTTCCCTCCTTTT